AATAGTTTATATATTTTATACCAAAATCTAATTTAGAACCTGTGGTTATACCTATAAGGTTTCGTAACTTCGTCGGTATTTATTGGGGCCTAATGTCATTATAACGAAGACTTTGTGTGCCAGTCAACTTCCAAGGCAAATATTAAGCTTTTCATTTCCGGATAAAAATTCTGCCAGAATATTTACACATCAAAGTGAAACATACACCTGGCTTGCCACATAAAAACGTATTTTGTGAGTTATTTGTACATAATAAATGTAATCTATATAATTTAATATTGAATTGATCAACAATATTTAATACAAATTGAAAAATAACATTTGAAATAGGAAATATCATATACGCGTTGAATTGCAAGATGAAGTTTTATATTGAAATAAATAAAAATAATTTAAATTAATAAAAAGACAGTTTTTTCCGTCTGAAATATACATCAGGACCTTGTGTTATTGTCTGATTTGTATAAGAAACAAGGAAATGCCATAATGGTGAACGTGCAATCTTAAATCTTTCATATTCAAAGCTTGCTTACTCATTCCTCGGGAAGACGATTGATTTATAAACAATAATATCCCTGTGTAATGATACTACGTATATCACAAAAACTGCCGACCATACAATTATATTTACCGGTGTTTTATAACAAGGTAAAGGCAATGTCCGAGATGACCGTACAGGTAATAATTGACCCATCTGTGTGGCGACCTACAATCGAACATGTATCGATCACCAGACCATTTCGCTCGAGGCAATTGTCGGACAACGTGGTCCAGAACAGATAAAAAAAAAACCGCAGGCGAATTCATTATATTTGTATCTGCCGACGTTTGACATACGAACACCATCAATAATCCATTTACGTCACATAGATAATAATTGTTACGAACCGCATTGATATATTCCATTTTGAAAGTCTCTTGAATATCGATTTACTACATATACTTCTGAATTTACAATCGCTTTTCATTATGATCGCTTTCATGAATTCGCTAGAAAACATTCTACTTCATTGTGTAATATGAAGGTCGATACTTTTGTATTATGCTGTTTCATTAGTATTGTCTCATTGTTACTACCTTTGTTCTCGCTTGTAGGACGTGACATTACTTGGATTTTACTTAAAGTTCCATGGCGGCTGTCGTTGATATGCTCATTGCATATGTCAACGATCTCCTTGTTTTGTTTTCTTTTAATACTATGTCTTAGTTGCATTCATTTTAATTTAAATTACAGTTTCGATGACAATTCTGTGTTCACTTGTTATTTTCTTGGAAATATCTATTGCGCGGGTTTTGTTCTATGTATCTATTTCATTATGCTAATATACAAGTGACATGGTCCAAAAATAAATATTACATAAAAGTATGCCATAATATCAAACACAGGTCCATATTGTTGAAACAACTGCAGGAAAAAGAGACATAACCTTCTATGACAGCAATATTTCATAAATATCCCAGAACAAAATGGCGCAACAAAAATATATCATGTCATTTGTATAATCCGTTTACTCCTTAAAACGTTAACGCAAAGAGCTATAACAATAATGTGAATGAAACAATGCTTTATGTGATGCAAATGCCTATTTCAATATCATCACCATTGTCTTTAGGAATTTGTAAAACTACCTGAAATTGAGAAAGAAAAACGCATTTGATCTTTATTTTGGCACGAGACTGTTAATTTTGTTGATAATTAACGTTTTTCCGATACAAATAATTCTTTTTTTAACATTTACATAGTCATCCATTGTCTGTTCTAACCAATGCATCAGTGTTGTTAACAATGGGACATTTAATAGATTATTTACGGTACTCATGTACTTTGCTGTGGCCTGGGCGATGGGCACGATTTTACTTCCTATCGCAGTAAACTGGTGCTGACGTGATGCTAGTTTATTTATATCTACCTTTATATACAAACACACCTTGTAATGAAGAGCATTAATTAAGTTTGATGGTATTATTTTCACTTCCAAATTCATATTATATTTCTGAATGGAAGGGTTGGATAGCAGTATTATATGAAAATATGTACTCTAACATACTTTTAAGACTGTATCACCCATCGGTTATGATGAGACACTGTGGTAGGAAGACAGCTACCCATGCATTTCTTGCCTGCCTAGTCGTACATACTCAGAATCATAAATTTTATATGAATTTTTTTTTTCCTTTCATGTTTATGTATAAGAATATCACTTTTATTTTGCTATATCCATGATAAAACATCATTTCATTTGCACTTCTGTGAAATCAGATATTTTTGTAGACCCGGACCCACACTTCATGGTTTTCCGAAAAATTACCATTTCGTTTGTACTTGTACATACATTCATCGATTATGAGTATCCACTCACACGGAAAATTAGTTTTGTAAAACTTGTAATAATTAGGTGGACCTATATATTCGTGGATGAAGATTACCAACGAAATTAATTAAATAAAAAAAACCCACGAAAATTGGTGAATTAACAGTATATGTTTGCATGAATAGTATTTGTGTGTAGTTTTCGCTGAAAATAGCGTAGGAAAATCAGATTTGATGAGAAGGTGCATAAGGTCATGTTTCAGTTTAAATATTTAATTTGTCAAAAAACAATGCTAAGAGGATTGTGCATGGAGCTCCGTAGCGAGGAATCTTAAAACACTAGTGCACAATCCCCTTTCACATTGAGAAAATTTCCCTGTAATATTTCCCAGTGAGTAGATGTAATTTTATAGAACTATAATGAAAATCAAAAATAAGAACAAATCAGAAATATTTTGCCAATATAATCTTGCTAGTATGGGGTTTATTCTTCAATTGTTGAAGGGAAAATATTTTTAGTGTGCTACAAAATTATCGAAAATAATTTAAAATTAATTGGAATGTGTTCAGACAAACTTATACACTAAATCAAAGGATACAACAGGTCTGGTATGATATATAATAACATGACAATGTTTATGATATGTGAAATGGTTACGTTAACGGACTGTAACAGCAGGTCTTAAAACAATTATTCAAAACGCTGTTAAAAACATTGAATTCTATGGTATATCGTGTGCAATATCCTGCTGAATGGACTAGCTTTCTTGAACAACAAGTTAATAAATTGGTTACGAATGAAACGACAACAGATGTTCAGTAAATCTGTTTGGAGTGTGAGCAGTATCGACGAAGGAACTCATTGTGTCCACAAACTGTATTGCTCAAAAATGACAAAGTCTGCACTGTAGCTTTTGTTCTTTGCTAAGGCATATCGTTCTATTCAAGTCATACGCACCAAGTGAACTTTTGAATATTTGAGTTAAGCAGCCATATTGGATAACTAGGTAATCTTTGTGAATAGAAACCAAAGAAGCGAACCTATATAGTCAAAACGCCTCAGGAAAACATACCAAAGAGAGCACATTTATTCACACAGGTGACCTACAGAATTATGTAAAGTGTTGAAGAAAACGTAAATGATTTTAAATAATAACCTCATCACCTCGCTTACCTAGTAAAATGAGACGAATAAATAACATATTTAAGTGGATGTTATTTCGCATCGATGAAATGTGTCAGATTGTCTAACACTTTGATGCTATTGTTATGCATGAGTATCAGTTTTATCGTATATATAACCACTCTGTATTTGTTTGATAGAAAATCCAGCTATTTACTATAATAAAAGTAACGCACAATTTCAAACTAATAGAGTATTGACTTTAACACTACCTGTGCGGAAGTATCTTGTGACAAAATTCTTTCTGATGCAACATCAAGAACAAAACGTAGCAAGTTTACAAGACAAAATACAATTTCAGATTAAAATCTCTTTTTTAAAGGGATAAGTTTCTTAATATGTAATTGTTCGTTTACAGATACCACGCCTTATAATCGCATTTTAGGAAAGCGCTAACTAGATTTGTTAATTTGTTTTATCTGGAGAACTTATTAATGTGATATATGTATTAATATAAACATATAAATTATATACTTATTATATCTTTATCGTTTATAAATATATGAATACTATTATTTAAATGATGACGACAACGGTGACTATGATGATTAAGTCACAGTAATTATTTTCTCGTTAAAGTCTTTAACCTAATCAGCGTCAACTCATTTCAACATAGGCCCGCTTTATATAGATTTAGAGCAAATGTGAACAGGTAATTTTCACACAGGGACACAAGTTTGATTGACGGGGTCCATGTGACATTTGTCGGTTATAAAAACTGAACATCCCTAAACACTTCACACATAAATAAACGACCTCTTGCTGAATGACTGACCGGGGGCGGTAATAATTCCATCACCAGGGATCATGCTGTCGTTTATGGGTTCGGCTAAGGTAAATGGGTCAAAGAGAGCAGTTAATTAATGATCTAGATAACTTCAATAGTGTTTCTCTCTCTTTGGCACATACAATATCATAAAAATGTTCATTTTAATTTTTATGTTTGTTCCCTTCGATAGTTCATACTTTCTTGTGAATATAAATCGAACACGACCCCATTGATAGGCATTAAATCACAGACGAGGTCGCCCCTTGTCAGCGTTTTTTTTTTATTGTATCAATGTATAATGTTGCATACCTGAATGCATGTTGACATACATAATAATACATGACAGGTGATTTGTCAAATGACATACTACAATATTGTAATATCATTATCATATAACACTTGTTTAGAGATTTCTCCTATCTCCAGGAATAATAATAATAAAATGCCCAAAGGTCTTCTTTACTGGCATACTAATATGCAAATTGTTTCTTTAAGTAAAACATTTTTGATAGATATCTGATTTTAAACAAAATATTTTATAAAGTGACTCTGGTTTCTGTGTGACCAACTCAGAAGAAAGCTTTGATTTTCTTTAAAATCTCCTACAAATACAGTATATTTTCTAAATTAAAATTAAGTTTATCATAACCATTACTCGTGAGATTAAGAAAATAATGAGAGAAGGTCTTCGTTCCCGTTCATCTCTAATAAGTAGATACGTTTAATCTTTCAGACCCAAGATGGCGTCCGTTTTGAGGATGAGCTTCACCAGTCTTATGACAGTTATCTCCCTTGTACAAATCGGTGCAGCACTTCCGGGATCTGCCGGTTTATTGAATTACCCAGCCCTTTATGACATGATATCACACTCTATAAAGACCGCAGTCAGGGAACTAGACGTTAGGAAACATTTAGAAGAACAACATTTCCACTCAGGTAAAGCATGAATGTTAAGAAAGAAGACAAAATAAATCCAACTGCAAGATGTTAAGTTTTCAATAGAAAATGAGTCTTATACTGTAACACATTCTTATATAATACATTCTTTGTTATGAAATTTACTTATACCTGTATTTGTTCAAAGTTAAATCTTCTTTGTTTCTTTTTCATTCGGCGAACAATTTAAACATTACGTAAGTGTTTCCAAAGAATAAAATCTTCATTTGTATATAAAATATTTAAAACCAGAAGTATTATTTTTCCAGGAAATGATCGAAAGATGTCAGAAGGTCATTTATGGCATCACGCGCGGTTCATGTTTTCTGGAGACCGCGGGAAAATCTCACAACTAAATGACAAGGCGTATATCAGTATTCGAGCGACAAAAGAACTGCTCCGCATGTAAGACATTATCTTCCAATACGATATACACTGTAAACCGGTATTCAGTTCTGTCTTGGTGTTTTTTTTGCAATTGCCCAATTGACAATGACATTGATTTGTAAATATAAATATAAATGTTCTTACCTGATAAAGAAAGTTGTATTATGAAATTGCTTAACTTCTATGCACATATTCATTCATTCAGACCGTGCCGGACAGCTAGCATGAATAGAGTAATTACTTACATTCTCATTTTGAAATGACTATTAATATCCTTTTCGACAGATCAAAACTACCACTTGAAGTACTTCAGTCTGACCCGAAAATAGTTGCTAAGTGGCGGAAGTGTATTGAGCCACATTGTAACTGCCCGGTCCCGCAGTGTAACCCGAAGGACTGCTACCGCACGGCCGACGGCACGTGTAATAATCTAAAGTATCACACATGGGGCGCCTCCCTGACTCCACAGCTGCGATACCTACCGGCTGCGTACGATGATGGTATGTTCCACAATAAAACAAAGTGTATTGCTTTTTGCTTACTTCAGCTACATTTACCATGCATTGATTTCCACTTTTAGACTAAAAGTTCATAATCTTTTAAACTTTATGCCCAAAACAAAATGTTCTCTGAAAAAAATAAGTTTTTTGATATTTGTGTTGCACAATTATTTAAAAAAATAAAAATATTCAAATTTAATTCGAAATATTTTAATTAAATAAGGTAATTTGTTTTCAAAATATATCCTCGTGTCATTAGAGCAAAATTGTTAAAATCATTCTCTCAAGTTAAATGATCTGCAGTATAGCTTATTAAAGATACAATATTCTCAGACTATGAATTTCAACTAGCATCAAATGCTTGAAATATGTAATGCGTCGTTATACATGTATATATATATAATTGCCTGGTAAAGTCGGCAATCAACATAATGTATATAAAATTACCTTCATACCAATTGTCTTAATAAAGCTTCCAAAGCCTTCCGCTACTGTTTGTATACTTTAAATAGTAAAATTCAGGACACTTTTCTAGAAAACATTGAAAAAAACGAAATTGCTGTTTGAAAGTAGAAAGCAATCATAACTTCAAAGGACCACATATAAAGTGTGTGATAAAAATGACACACTCTTTATTGTACCTATGTAATTTGATGATAAACATAAATTACACTGCAACGTCCTTTCAGGAGTCCTCAGTGGTGCTGGGGATCAGAATTGTGTTATAAAATAACTTTTCAAAAAAAATAAAAACAGGTATAAACATGCCGCGACTCTTCAGTGTGACTGGTAAACATCTCCCTAGTCCTCGAGTGGTCAGCAATGTCCTTCACAGCACTGGTACCTGTCACTTTGACGAAAAAGGTCACTCTGTTCTGTTGATGACCTGGGGTCAGATGATCGATCACGACTTCCAAGGAACTCCAATGAACAAAGGTGAGTTGCGATACAGATGAACTCTCACCGCAAAATCATTTCGTATATCAGAAACTGAAAAGCATTTCGAGATTATTCCTCAATCACCTCTCGTTCAAATTATTCAATGGAGACCGTAAACGACAATGCATATATCAATTCGACCGAGCCATAGCAACACTGCTTGTTCTGTATGTCCGTATGTACATTTTCTCTACCTACCTATATATATATATATATGTCTGTGCAAAAGTAAAAAGCATCGCGTCACAATAATTTTCACTTTTTTCCCCACAGGTTTTAATAATTCCGACATCATGTGTTGTTCACTTGGGGAAGCTGAAGCCGACCAGAGGTATGGAATAATAGAAAATTAACCTCTTTCACTTTCTTTTTTTTAAATATCACAAAATGTGAGGAATGCTCACTTAGATTAACTAACAATAAGTTTGTTTTAAGAATTAATATGGTCTTGTAAACGCCCAAAGCATATATTTACACAACAAAATAACCTGCAATACATTTAACTATTTAAAACTTCTTTTTATCTCATTAACATTTTCATGCTTTTTTTAATAAAGATATTGCAGTTTCTCGCCAAAGTTAAGTTCGTTCGGCATTTTCATGTTCATTGTCATTTTATTTTAGAGCTGGACATACAATGCAAACAGTTTATAACATAAACAGGAAAATAGGGTAGATTGAACGGATTCATTATGAGAAGTTCTTTTTACACAACCAATGAAAGTGTCTATGTGACGTTTCGATGACTAGTACGATATGTACACTAGTACTGTCACCTTCAACAGACAAATGACCAGTGAAGCTCATGCACACAAAGGTGTAAAATTTGTACGATTTTATGGACAACTCGTACACATTTTACACCTTTGTGTGCATACGCTTCACTGGTCATTTGTTTGATGAATGTGACAGTGTACATATCGTACTAGTCATCAAAACGTCACATAGCAAATTGAATTGGTTGTGTAAAAAGAACCTCTCATAATCCATACTTACCAACCCGACGGAAATGTTTAGAATGAGCGGATTCATTGCTGAGATAAGTTTAAATTTCCTAGAAAAACAAACAGTCCCGGTATTATGTTAATATTGAACAATTCTGCGGTTCTAGTGCCCACAATTGATCATTACGTATGATTATTACATACCTTGTATTGTTTTTTCCTCACGAATAGGGGTTCGTGTTTCCCCATCAAGGTGCCAATGAATGATCCCCGATTCAGGCAAAAGTGCATGAACTTTGTTAGATCTGCAATTGCACCCACGCAATTATGTGATATGGGTAAGACACATTTCTCAAGAAGAATGAAGAATTCGTTTATTTTTTTCTGCAAATTTATATCTGTTCGATTTTAAAATTGCTTCAGTGTCAACAGTAACTTGAAAGTAAATAACTGTCTTTAACACTTGAGAGATTAATAAAATAGCACAGCATATAGGTTCATAACAGATATTTCAAAGGTTTATTTTCTTTAAAAATCAATATGTCGGAGAAGCCGTAATCTCAAAATTGATTTTGACACAGGTAGAGTCGTTAAAAAGGGCTAACAAAACGTCAACGAAACTGTAGGAAATGAATCTATCTGCTCTATGCTATAACAGAACCGTAAGGAAACAACTTATATACAATTACTTGTGTACATAAGGATTCTGATTCCCTCTATTGAGGGAACATAAAAAACACAAAAACGGCCTTTGTTGTTATTTTGTTCAAGGTTAATCATCCTCGCAACATCTATGGTCTCAAGACGGGTGATAAAATACACACTGTCGTGGCAGCAATAACAAATACATTTTGGTTTACCAAATGCCCTCTTAGCAGAAAACGTTTCGGGGAAGAGTGAGGTTTTGGGGGGAGGAATTCTTTCCCCAAACCTTCTAGGTGCGACAGCGAAGTGGATTTGCGTCATCATAGCTCTTACTGGCATCTATATCTTTCCATTATTGCTAATATTTTTACCGTTCTGTTGCTTCCATTAGCACGCATCTACCTTTTTGGTTTGTTTTGCCATTTTGCACTTTATATGGGCAACATTATTAAGCTAATGAACAATGGAGATTTTTTATTATTACAAACAACTAGCAACGAAGTTAAACTATATTTGTATGTTTTACTTCAGGCGTGCGCAATCCTGTCAACCAGCACTCATCACAAATAGACGGTTCTTTACTGTACGGTTCTACACAGGAAATTCAAAACAGACTGAGGGCAGGCTACGGAGGTAGGTCGCGGTAACGTGGCAATAATAATTATAATAATAATATACAACATTTTTTTAGCGCCCTATATAATTTGTAAAATTACTCTAAGGCGCTTTACAACATATGGATAATAGTAATGGTTATAATTGTGAAAACAGACAACAAAGGCTTGCAATCACTTTCATACATTTAACAAGCAATGTGCATATAATTGAACAAATAAAAGGGTGGTATTTACATGACGTCTTTGCAAAGATTCTAAAATGCAGACGTGAAGTGGTGAGTTTTTATGTCCCTCTTGAACTTGGCCAGGGTATTTGACTTCCTAATAGCAGATGGTAAGCTATTCCACAACGTAGCCGAAACCCTCCCAAAGCATCTGTTTCCGTAGGTCACAGTACGAGATTTTGGGACACACAACAAAGATTCTGACTCCGACCNATGTGTATACCAGAATTTTGTACTGCAATACAAAACATACAGGTGTCTGATTGTTTAGAACTAACAAACGAAACGTAACTTTATTGGTTAAAAACATCTGCATCTACGCAATTAATAATTTGATGAATGAACACCCTGAAATGTGGTATCAGACGGAAAATTCAAAGCAGGCATCGAAAGTAGACTATGCAATATACCTGTGACTGTGAAAGGTTTCAGTTGATTAGGAATCAGGCGATACCGGCATAGTCTAGACATGCATAAGTGCAGGCTAGGGTGAGTTCGTTTAACATGCAGGTAAGAGACTAGGTTGTGAAGCCATATAGTCCAAGCAAGGCGGCAAGTAGATAACGACAGTCAAGTGATAAAGTGATATATCAATACTGTTGACAATATATAGACTTGTAACAACAAGTCCGAAACATCTGGATTACAAACACACGAAATCTTGAGGAAAACGTTTGTATAAAAGCACAGTCTACATGTAGCTTGCTGTGACTAAATGCCCCAGCTAATGATATCTGACCAGTAGATAATTCCACTGTAGTTAATCGTATATAGAGTAACCTTCCCTTAATTAAGTTCTAGATATAACTGTAGTACGACTTGACCACGGTCGTTTCATTGACCGGATAGCTCAATTGGTTGGAGCGACAATGATATATTAATGTCAGGTACAGGGATCGAATACTAGTCTAGCCATGTCGTATTTTCAAACCATTCATTTCGTTTTATTTATTATTTCGTTATTTTTAAAAGTCCCATGGGGTATGTTTTTTTATGAAATGATTAATCAAAGCTATAGTCGACATGACTATGGGAAAAATACGATGCAAAGTTACAGTTTTGGTACGGTGAGCCTTAATGTTTCAAACGTCAAACATACACTAAGATTTGGAGAACGGAGACGTTAACAGCATGGTGTCAGCTATGTTTCTATATTAAATTATTTATATTCCTAAATTCTGTAAACAGGGGATGTTTTGTCCACTCTTTCACTCTTCGCCGATTTCATCAATATTTAATTACTATGTTTATTATCCTGCTTATTAATATTCGATGAAACGATAAATTCGCCTTCATCACAGAGGGCGAAAAAGGCGAAAAATAAACGGCAGGAGAACCTTCCGTGTATACAGAATGTATAGCGTTGTTGATTACGATGGCGTATAAAATATGCTGACTGTTGTTACTTGTTGTTTCTCATTAGGTTTGATGAAGATGAGCAAACAAGGTCTGATGCCTCCCGCTGACGGTAACAAGTGTATGCGGTCTAACCCAGGAGAATACTGTTTTGACGCAGGTAAATAAAGTACTCTGAATTACTGTTGATACTTTTTATTTCGTAAGTGCATATTTTCAACAGTCGATTGCATTATGCATATTTGGTGTCTTACTTTTATCAGATACACCTGAACACAGGTAAAAGGTCGTTTTTAGCAATGGCAGATATCTTTGTCTTTAATACATTATATGATTAATAATATGTATGAAATTGTCAAGTTATGCATTGCGGAATTTCAAACGTAAGTGTAACAGTGGATTTATTATTGTTTCTTAACTGCTCGAAATTATGCGTGCATAATGATGCATCTGATTCAATGTATGTAAGTCTGTCTCAATGTGTACATGTATGTATGTACTGTCTGTAAGTCTGTCTTTCTGCCTATCTGTCTGCCTGTCGGTGTCTGTCTGTCTGTCTGCCTGTCGGTGTATGTCTGTCTGTAACTAGACGTGCTATGTTTATCCTTGTTTGTAATATGATGTTGTATATGGAATGTGTTAGGGTGTGAAAGAAGTATGTTTTGTATTCTTGTCCTGTACTCTATTTGCAAATATTTTATTTTCCCATTGCCCTTCCTATTTATCTATTTTTTGTTTGACTGATGGATGTTGAATGTGAACCCTCCGGCGTGAGGACACCATATTGTTCAGGGGCTGACTCCTGACTCCAGGGCTCCCCAACCCTGGCATCCCCTATCAAAATATTTATAAATGTATATATATATATATCTGCATGGAGGCAGTATATGTATATACATATTTATGAAAAAAATGGCTGGGGGATTGAAATATTTGGAGATTTTTTTATTTTTTTTTAAACAATTGGAACTTATCACCATAGGTGTGGTTATGCAACTTCAATTTTTAAAATCCGCAATCATTTGATAGGAATATCAAATAGCTTTACTATTTAAAAAAAAAGCCTTATGAATCTCGCTTGTGTTGACAAGCGTATGTAATATAAGTATGTGTTTTTGTCTTTTATGCGACCTATTTTCTGACATAAGACAATTTTAAACGTTTTAGAAGTGTCCATATAGCACAACCAGTTTAGTGTTTATGTAGAAGTAACAGGGAATGCGCGTTGCTATCTTTATCATTGTTTAATTGAGGTTTCAGGGTTCACACTCTACTAGTCATCGAAATGTCAGCCGCAAACAATGAAATTGGTTGTGCTATATAAGATATTGTTTGGAGACATACAACTCATATTTATGTGTTACAGGTGACGACAGGAACACTGTGGTTCCAACGTTGGCTGTGCTCCATACACTATTTGTTCGAGAACACAACAGTATCTGTGGAAAACTTCATAAATACAATCCTACCTGGTCTGACGAAAAACTATTTCAGGAATGTAGAAAAATTGTATCAGCCATTTTACAGCACATTAACTACAACGAATATTTACCAAACGTTCTTGGTGATGCACATATGAGGGCGCACGGTCTCTACTCCACGCCTAAAGGTCATCACACTGTGTACAACCCAAAGGTTAATCCTACTGCTTCTAACGTGTTTGGAGTAGCTGCTTTTCGTTTCGGACATTCCCAGATTCCAAATCTCCAGGGCATGAGAGACCCACACACGCAAGTGACAAAGACGGTCCCAATACAGTATACCTTCAACAGACCTGCTATGATCTTTGATGACAACGGTAAAGGCTGTGGGAGAATGGCTTACTGGCAACTTAACAACAAGCAGGCACATCAAGATAGATTTTTACAAGATGGTGTAAGAAATTACCTATTTTTAGACAAGCAAGGAAATAGTTTTGATTTGGCTGCTCTGAATATTCAAAGAGGTCGTGATCATGGAATAGCTCCCTATAATGCATGGAGGAAATGGTGCGGATTCAAGCCCGCATTTCACTTTGGTACTGGACCAGGAGGCCTTGTCAACCATGACCACGAGTCAGCAATGCTTCTGTCTAAAGTATACAAGTAAGTCATCAGGGTTTTTATCATCTATCCTGCGAGTTATAGCACCAATATGTGTCACATAATTGTACATTATACCACTTTTTTTTTTTTTTTTTTTTTTTTGGGTT